TAGAATAATTTAGAGCAAGAAATTTAGAAAAGTTTAGATCATTTTGCTATCGATACAACATCTAAGTATGCAATTACGTAACTAGTAGGTAACCTTTGAAAAACACGGGTTTGAATTGCGTGGGTTCACTTATACATGATTTTTCCCCAAAAGATAATTGGAAATTGTTTTTAGATTTGCAACAGTTTGGAAAAGCTCTTAGATGAACTGTACAGTTTAGAAATACTGAAAAAAAACTAAGAAAAAGGTATTACTATAAGAGTACAGTATATAATACATATAACACACATTATAGTGCTAATCAACTACTTATGTTATCAGTAAGGTCAACAGAATGTTATGAGTAGTTAAATTTTTGATGCACCAAAAGTTAGACATGGATTTTTGACTGTGTAGTGGTCAGCACTCCTAACCCCTGTGTTGTTGAAGGGTCAACTATAATTCTTTTCTATTGTATTCACAAAGTATCTTTGCAAATTGGAAATTAAAACAACCAACCCAAAACTGGTCTTTTAAAACTAAGAAGTTTTCTTTTAAAAATAAGAAGTCCGAGAACAGGACAGTTCCTGGCACTTAGTAAGTATTAATAATTGCTGAGTAAATAGATGAATAATAAATATAAGGAAAATGTCTAAAGAATACATTTTTAAACAGTAAAATCAGACCAAGTCTGTCTATATGCCCATCAGGTCTAATTAAATAATTTCACTGCTTGAATTAGTTACAAAGTGATTCTTACTATGTACTTCCTGGGTATACTGTGCTTTCCTTTTCTATGTGAAGATGAGTCAGGCTCAGATGGACAAATTAAGGACTACTTCTGAGACTCTCTGCCTAAGGGGATGAAGACAGCCTTTGTACAAGCCCCACATCTGTATACTTCTTTGCATGCCTGCCCTGAACAGAGCTGGCCTGACAGGAGCTTTAGATTTATTCCCCACTTCCCTCCATCCCCCACCCCACCAGACCACTCCATACAACAGTGAAGTTATTAGCAGTCATTGAAAGTTACAAGGCTAACTTGTTGGATGTTAGTGGGTTTTGTTTTTTTTTTTTAATACTGAAAGATCACAATATTCTCGTTCAGTCTTTCATAGAAATATAGGTTGAAATAATGGGTAATTCAAGGCAAAAAATTAAACCCAAAAGTATAACTTACTGAAATGTTTCTTACAGAATATACTCTTGTTTCTGCAGCTGATAACCTTGAAAACATATAATTGGAGAGCTTTTGCTCTTTGATCCATCTTTGCTACTTTCTACATAATGCGTTTTCCTGCCTAAACCTTTTTCTTTCCCCCACTCAAAACAACAGCAACAAAATAAAACTGGTTGGATCATTTTAACCTGCTCTAGTGGTATGCTATCCTATTTGGGGGTGACTAAGAGACATTTATTTTATTTCAGGATTATTAGAAACACATTTTAAAACTTTTCTCTGCCTCATTCAAGAGCTTCATTACATTCTTGCTTCCATTTTATTTCATCATGGCTTTGGATGCTCAAGAATTCAGTTAGAAGATATAGGCTAGGCTGTGAGGAGAGAATACAGAAATGAAAAGATACAATCCTAGAGAGTTTAAAATCTAGTAGATGAATGAAAATATAATGTAAGGCAGGATGTGGTAAGTACTAAAAGAAGAGTCAAGGGGCACAGAAGAGGGAACCATGGGGAATCAAGAATGGAGAGGACCAGGGAGCATGAGTGGATCAGTCAGTTAAGCATCCAAATCCAACTCTTGATTTTGGCTCAGGTCATGATCTCAGGGTTGTGAGATGGAGCTCTGCATCAGGCTGTGTGCTGGGCATGGAGCATGCTTAAGATTCTCTCTCTCCCTCTTCCTCTGTCTCTCTCCCCCTACCCCCAGGCCCTCATCCCCTCAACTCACGTTCTTTAAAAAAAAAAAAAAAAAGAATGGAAAGGACTGAAAGTGAACAGTAAGAAGGATAGATGGGGCAGAGGGCACTGTGTGAGCAATGTCACAGAGGAGAGGAAGAACATACTAGGTATTCTTGGAGAACAGAGAACAGTTTGGATATTCTGAAGCAAAAATTAAGGAAGAGAGATCAGTGGAAGATACAGCTAGAAAGGAAGATTAAGACCATAAAAGAGATAGCCTTGAATGTCACACCAAGAAATTTAGAGCTGATGCTGAAGCAGTGGGGAGCCATGGAGGAATATGGAGGAAGGGAATGTTAGTATCAGAGTATGCTTTAGAAAATCTCCTCAGGGGGCGCCTGGGTGGCTCAGTGGATTAAGCCTCTGCCTTCGACTCAGGTCATGGTCTCAGGGTCCTGGGATCGAGCCCTGCATTTGGCTCTCTGTGCAGTGGGGAGCCTGCTTCCTCCTCTCTCTCTACCTGCCTCTCTGCCTACGTGTGATCTCTGTCTGTCAAATAAATAAAAGAAAAAAAAATCTCCTCAGATATCTGTGCAGAAGATAAGTTGAAGGAGGAAAAGAATGGAAGCAGGAAGACTACTTTGGATGCTATTTACAAGAGTGTAAGGAGAAGTAATGGTGATAGTGGCAAACCCAAGAGAAAACCATCCAGATTGGAGGGAAAAAACAAGTGTGACAGGAAAGTGCATCTGAGCCACTTATAGCAAGTCAGATGTGTAGCTTATTGGTGAGCTTGACTTTGGAAATACTTTCCTAAAGACCAAGAAAGATGATTATAATCCAACAAATCTCTTTAATAGTTAATTCAAAATACAATATATTTTTAATCCCTATAAACTCCTACCAAAATTTAGTGCCTTACAATAAGAACTTTATTTCTCTGTTTTTCATACTTATAGATTAAATTTGCATTTATATAATATCAATAGCAATGAGTACAACAGCAACAGCTGAAATAATGTACCCTTGTCATGAACCAGACACCATGCTGTGCTCTTTGCTTGTACTACCAGCTCATTGGATCCTGAGGATAACCCCTCAGCTATGAATTACCATTTCCTCATTTGACATGTGTAAGTACTGAGATAGGGAGTTGTTTCATAACTCAGTTAACACTACACAGGACAACAGAGATGTGAATCCAGGCAGGTCTCATTCTAGAATCTGTGCCTTTGGCTACTCAATCATACTTAAATTTTTTCTTTTTACATATATTTTAAAGTAGAATGTCAAAAGTGAACAAAGATCAGATGGGAAAAATTGAAAACAAACAGCAAGATGGTAGATTTAAGCCAAAATGCATCAATAATCACATTAAATATAAATGGTCTAAACAACACAATTAAAAGGTAGAGATTGTCTGTTTGGATAGAGACAAATGCCAACCAAATTCTTGCATAATGGATTCTGCTCTACCACCTTGTCTTTTCCCTAAATTTCCCTCTTTTTTTTGCACCACTCCTATCCCTACCTCATTGTGGCCCTATTCCTGAACACTATCTGGCTGTGTGGGAACACTGAACACCATGGGGAAAATATTCCCTTTGACAGATTTATCATTTTCTGCATACCCATTTAAAAGGCTCTGCTATAGTACACTCATCCTCTCTTGTCTCTCTCCAACAGCCTAAGTTCCATATAGACTGAAGGTCCTAACACACTTATTGTACATTCTTCACTTCATATTGTACTACTTTGTTACTGAAAAACAGGCTAAGAAGAAATTTGGAGACCTGAGAATTTATTGCATATTCTAGAAAAATGTCAAATGAAGTCAATACTGAGTGTAATGCCAGTATTTTAAGCTGAAAAAGTTTCTTTCTTTGGAAGGTCCACACTGCTCTTAGTATCTTCTGGTTCTTAAGTATTTCTTACAATCATGCTTCTATTTTATCTTCCAGAAGTACACATAAACCACACATTATAGTCACACATAAGCCCCAAACTAACTTTCACCATATTCTGTAGCAAAAAATTTAGAAAGGGGGCCATAAATTGCTATTTCCCAAAGGAGTGTGGCAAGATGTGTGTACTCTTGTGGAAAGAATTGCCAAATGTATTGCCAAAAGAGTAGAACTACTCTCTAAATCCATATTCTTTACAAGTCCTAGATTTTGACCCAAAATGATCTGTTCCACTGGAAGCTGACCAGTTGTCTGTCTTTCCTTTGACAAAATGAAATTGTGAGGTAGTTTCCTAATTTGAGGTTCTTAACAGGTTAAGGGAAATAATGGTCTTTGATACTCACTTTCTTCCCTCAGAGAAGTAAACTTGTATGGCATGAGGAGGCAGTAAATGGGTACCTTTATTTTTATTTTTTAAAATATTTTATTTATTTATTTGACAGAGAGAGGGAGAGCACAAGCAGATGGGGTGGAAGGCAGAGGGAGAAGAAGATTCCCTGCTCGCTCAGCAGGGAGCCTGATGCAGGGCTTGATTCCAGAACTCTGGGTTCATGACCTAGGCTGAAGGCAATCTCCCAACTGAGCCATCCAGGCTCTCTATGGCTATTTTTTTTTTAATAGATTTTATTTATTTGACAGAGAGAGAGAAATCACAAGTAGGCAGAGAGGCAGGCAGGGGTGGGGGGGGAAGCAGGCTCCCCACTGAGCAGAAAGCCTGATGCGGGGCTCAACTCCAGGTCATGAGATCATGAGATCATGACCTGAGCTGAAGGCAGAGGCCCAATCCACTGAGCCACCCAGGCACCCCATGGCTACTTTTAATACATGTTTTGCTTCCAGCCTTAATGGCTGCACAAACCTGAATTTTTTGCGAACATTAAGTCATATTACTGAGTCCTACTTTTTAGATAGTCCTGCCTAACCAACTCATCAAAAAGTACACAAGCATGCAAAAGGTAGAAGCAGGGGGTGCCTGGGTGGCTCAGTGGGTTAAGCCTCTGCCTTCGGCTCAGGTCATGATCTCAGGGTCCTGGGATCGAGCCCCATTTGGGGCTCTCTGCTCAGTGGGGAGCCTGCTTCCTCCTCTCTCTCTGCCTGCCTCTCTGCCTACTTGTGGTCTCTGTCTGTCAAATGAATAAATAAAATCTTAAAAAAAAAAAAAGGTAGAAGCAGCATGCAATTCAAAATGTTCTTACCAAGTTTTGTAGGGGTTCCTTTTGAGGGACTTGGTCCTGGGCAACCTGGGGCAGCATGGCATGTCCGAGAAGATAGCAGATCAGTCCCAGAAATGGAGTGCTTCGCAAAGACCCAATAAGAGAAACATTACTTTTATCTTTGGAAGAAGCAGCGTCAAGGACATAGCTTCCATTTAACTAAGGGACCTTTAACCCTGATGATATGGGGAAGAAGCTAAGTATATTTGGGTCATGTAAGTTGCCCCTGTCTTGCATGAGAATTGAGTGGAGGTCCTCTCCTTGGGGCAATTAGTAGCAGAGTCTCAGCACCTTTTGCTTAATTCATTTATTTCTTCCTCTGAACAAGTCAACTTAGCCCTCTCTTAAATTAATTATAGTTCAGAATATAAAAAACAACTATGTGCTGATTTTCTCCTATACTTAATTTTTATCCCTAAGAAAGAAAAAAGAAAACCTATAGGAAGGTATTAATCTACTTAACATTTCTAAGTACATCATCCAAAGGATTTTGTTTTTTTAATCTTACATATGCTCAGCAGAGTTACTGGCAAAAACTGTACATTTTCTTCATTTCATCCTTTCAACATCAAATAGTAGGCAGCAAAAATTGGATCAGACTTCAAAGCCTGCTGTGGGCTCCAAGTCACAGAGAGACGCCTCCATTTCACATATTGAATTCGAGCAGGATATCAAAGTGCTACCAAAGAACCTCGGGTCCTTACTCAAAAAGAGGCTCTAACATCTGTAGAGAGTGGAGTGCACAGACAAATCACCTCGGGGAGCAGCTAGCATTTATTCTCAGCAGCAAATTTCCAGGCTTTTGATTCTCTCTTCACTGTACCTCCCTGTCTCTCTGCTGAACCAAAGTTCTTTAGCAAGCTGGGCTTTTGTCTCAAAGACTTCAAAATATCACTAACAGTTTCATGTTTGGATGACCTGACCAAGCAGCCATAGACAGGCTTCACAACCATCGACTTGGACAAGTCTGAAATAAAGATACATAGTCACATTGGAATCAAGGTGTCCAGCTACCTTATTTGAATGTCCTGTGGAGACATCACACCCTTTTGGAGAACACTGGGTTTGTGGATGCCTAAAAAGAAAAATAATCATTTTTAAAAGGCCTGAAATCATGTTTAAGAACTTAAAGAGGATTGCTTTCCTCCAAAGAGGTATCAGAACATACTATGTTCCCATTGTTTTCCATTCTGGTCCTCAATTAAAAGGACATGGTCAACTGAAGAAAATGCATCCTACTAAGTGTTACTGCTATAGTCTTAGTCAGCCTGAGGTTCTAAGAATGTAGTAGCCGCCCTTTTTAAAGTTGTATGATACAATTTAGTTCACTATTGGGCTTTTACAGACTTTACCAAGAAGCCAACAAAACTGATGGTAAGTTTGTACTTCCCAGCCAGCACACTGTAATCACATTGTTAGATAATTCAAAATACATTCTGTAGTCAAATAAGTATGGGAAATACTGAGTTGTACAGTTAAGAGGCTTCCTCAGTTCAGGAATGATCTTTTACTATCACAACATTCATTTAAGGATTCCTAAAGGCAGGGTTGGAGGGTGGGTGTAGTTTCTCAAACTAATTTGATCAAGCAACTTAAAAAATGATAATCTACAAACACCTACTAAAATACTAATGTTTTATGGAGTAAAGTTTGGAAAAATCAATTGTACTGTGTCCCTAATTTCTAGTAATTGAAACCCGTTGTATAAAAGTGTGGTAATTATTACTCACTGTTAAAATACGAGTTGGCCCTTTCAGAGAGAACCCAGCAGAGTACAAAGCCCTGACTAGGGAAAAAGAAATCTGGGTTCTAATTCCTGTGTCAAGATCCCTGGTCTCTCTCTCTCTCTCTCTCTCTCACACACACGCTCACACACACACACACACACACACACACACACGGACTGGAGATATTTCTACAGTATTCTGGTTTTTAATTTTCCTCACCTGTAAAACGAAGGGATTGAGATAAACCATTCCTAAGGTATCTTCTAGTTCTATATTAAAAAATGTATTCTTTATTTAAACTGATAAATTCATTTTCTGTATTTTCTGTGAACAGTTCATGGATAATACCTTCAAAATACATCTATATGGAGAGTATAAGCAATATCTCATTTAAAAAATATCACATCAGTACCTGGAGACAGGAGACTATAATGATACACTTATTTGTGTGCATATTTGTTTAACATATGTCTCCCACTATGGAATGTGCATTCCAAGAAGGCAGGGATCAGAGCTGCTTTATTCTATACTCTCCATCAGCACCTAACCCTAGGAGCTGGTATGTTGCAAAGTGCTCAATAAGTATTTGACAAGTTGAATGAATAAAAGAATAACTAGTAGATCCTCAAATATGAAGATCAGCAAGAATACCCTTAACATTAACATTAAATTAATGAGCTTTTATTTACTTATTTATCCCCCTACTTTCTAAAAAAATTGACATATAACATATTGTTTCAGGGGTACAGGTCTGTGAATCATCAGTCTTACACAATTCACAGCACTCACCATAGCACATAATGAGCTTTTAAATAACACTTCATATTTTAAAAAATGCTTTTATAATTTAATGAGAATTTCACAACCATTTGAGCTAAGTGCTTTAATTGTCCCTATTATATAGATGAAGAACCTGTAGTTCAGGTAAGGGACTTGGCCAGGGACCAGGTGACTACCTGGCAGAGCTAAAACACTGACCCCTTTTGGTCTGACTTCAAATCCTTTGTCCTCCTCTGAAACTTGACACCCTCTATACCCTTTGGTTTCTGTGCATCAGGCCAAGGAACTCATTCCTGTCAGCCTAGGCAAGTCCCAGCGGTTCTGAGATACCTAAATGACAGATGGACTCTGAGGTCCTCGAGGAGTGAGTCCTGGAAAGGTTTGAAGACAATCGAAGGAAGAGAGTTTAGCTGTCACATTACTATGGGCTTTCTAATTTCTACCCTATAAGCCCCAACATGGAAATGAAACCTCTTAAGAAATCTTCTCACTTGCATGGCTTTGTAGGATCCAAAAATCAGGGGCAGACATCTTCCAACTCTCCGCTGAGGGTCAGCTCAGCAGTCTGAGCCCCTCCTCGTTCAAGCCCTTGGGAGAATCTAAGGCAGCTCAATACAATGTTTATATGTATTACTTGGTTTTATAAAAGCAAGGGTGGGATGGGTAGTATCCATAGGCAAATAGATTAGAAAACACCTGATTAAGCAAATACTTGACTAAAGCAGATTTCTTTCTCAAGAGGCTTTCCAGAACCTTTAGCTTAATGCCATGCACAATGAAACTCCACTAGTAGAAAACAACACATAGCATTTCCCAGATGTAATTTTAGAATGGCACCCTTCTCCCAGGGAATATGTTGGAGGCCTACTGGTTCCTATAACATGCCTTAGGAAATTCTAATCTGAGCAGCCCTTATTTGAAACAAATCCCAATCTGCTATTATGGGCCACTGAGGTAGCTAAGCCTGTTGTGTCTGCCTTGGCTCAGGTCGTGATCCTGGGGTCCTGGAATCGAGCCCCTCATCAGGTTCCCTGCTCAGAGGGAGTCTATTTCTCCCTCTCCCTCTGCACCTCCCCCTGCTCATGCATGTACTCTCTCTCTCTCAAATAAATAAAATCTTTTTAAAAAATAAAATAAAAAATGGTATACTTTTCTTCAAAAGTCTAACTGCCTCAACTCCTTTGCAGCAATTTATCTGACATTTTGTCATCTGCTTCAGGGACTTGAGACTGGCAGTCAATGATAATGCTCCATAAGCTGTCACTTAATGAAATAAGTAACAAGCACAATAATAAGGAAAATCACAATAATAAAAAATAACCAATGCTTATTGTATGCATATATCTCACCAGGCATCGGTCAAAGAATGGATACATGGACATTTCATATAACACTTCTAACAGCCATGTGAATTGGTTATATTTTTATACCCATTTTACAGGTGAGGGAATCGAGGATCAAGAAACTAATGACTTGGTTCATGTCATAACTAGTGCATAAATAGTGCACCATAATTTGACAAAGTACAACATCCATTCATAATAAAAACCTCAACAAATTAGGTTGAGAGGGAGCATACCTCAACATAATACAGGTTATACATATGAAGAACCCACAGCTAGTACCATCCTCAATGGGGAAAAACTGAGAGCTTTCACCTAAGGTCAGGAACAAGACATGAATGTTCACTCTCACCACTTGAATTCAACATACTACTAGAAATCCTAGCCATTGCAGTCAGACAACAAAGAAATAAAAGGTATCCAAATTGGAAAGGAAGAAGTAAAACTTTTCATTATTTGCAGATTACATGATACTACATATAGAAAACCTGAAAGATTCTAAAAAACAACAACAACAACAACAACAACAACAACAACAACAACAAACCCTGCTAGAGCTGATAAACTCAGTAAAGTCACAGGATACAAAATCAATGTTCAGAAATCTGTGACACCTCTATACACCACTAATGATGCCGCAGAAAGAGAAATTAAGAAACCAATCCCATTTACAATTGTACCAAAAATAATGATACCTAGGAATAAACTTAACCAAAGAGGTAAAAGGCCTATACTCTGAAAACTATAAAACACTGATGAAAGAAAGTGAAGATGAAAAAAGAAATGGAAAGACATTTCTATGCTCATGGATTGGAAGAGCAAATATTGTTAAAGTCTCTATACTACACAAAACAACTATACATTTAATGTAATTCCTATCAAAATGCCAACAACATTTTCCACAGAACTAGACCAAATAACCTAAAATTTATATGGAATCCCAAAAGACCCTGAATAGCCAAAGCAATCTTGAACAAGAAAAGCGAAGGTGGAGACATCACAATTCTGGATTTCAAGTTATATTACAAAGCTATAGTGATTGAAACAGTATGGTACAGGTATAAAAACAGACATGGAGACCAATGGAACAGAGTAGAAAACCCAGAAATGAACCCATAACTATCTGATCAATTAATCTTTGACAAAGCAGGAAAGAGTATCCAACAGGAAAAAGAACAATTTCTTCAAAAAATGGTGTTGAGAAAACTGGACAGTAACATGTGGAAACGAAACTAGACCACTTTCTTACACCATACACAAAAATAAATTCAAAGTGGGTTAAAGACCTAATTGTAAGACTTGAAACCATAAAAATCCTGGAAGAGAACACAGGCAGTAACATTTTTTGACACTGGACATAGCAACTTTTTTCTAGATATGTCTCCTGAGGCAAAAGAAATGAAATAAAAAATAAACTACTGCGACTACTTCAAAATAAAAAGCTTCTGCCCAGCAAAGGAAACAATCAATAAATCTAAAAGACAATTTATGGAACAGGAGACTATATCTGCAAATGACATATCCAATAAAGGGTTAGTATCCAAAATATACAAAGAACTTAAACAACTCAACACTCAAAAAACAAATAATCCAATTAAAAATGGGCAAAAAACATGAACTGACATTTCTCCAAAGAAGACATCCAGATAGCCAACAGACACATGGAAAGATGTTCATTATCAGTTACCATCAGGGAAATGCAAATCAAAACTATAATGAGATATCATCTCACACCTGTCAGAAAGGCTAAAATCAAAAACACAAGAAATAGCAAGTGTTGGCAAGGATGTGGAGAAGGAGGATCCCTCCTGTACTGTTGGTGGGAATGCAACCTGGTACAGCCACAGTAGAAAACAGTATGGAGGCTCCTCAGAAAGTTAAAAATAGAACTACTCTACAATCTAGCAATTGCGCTACTGGGTATTTGCCCCCAAAATACATAAACAACAATTCAAAGGGATACGTGCATCCCTATGTTTATCGCAACTTTATTTATAATAGTGAAATTATGGATGCACTTGTTCATCAACACATAAATGGATAAAGACAATTTGGTGTCTATACATAATGGGATATTACTCAGCCATAAAGAAGAATGAAAATTTGCCATTTGCAATGACATGGATGGAACTAAAGAATATATACTAAGCAACCTAAGTCAGAGAAAGAAATACCATATGATTTCACTCACATGTAGAATTTAAGAAATAAAATAAATGAGCAAA